GTCACCCCGTAACATTTTTATAATTAATATACTCTAAGAAAGATATTAATCTTGAATTATAATTAATTGTAATTAATGTTTTTAAATAATAAGTTTATTGATATAAATGAATATTAATAAACAATTAATAATACAATTTACTTTATAGTTTATACTAAATCAGATATTATATTCAATCTCAAAAGATTAGTATAAACTATATCAAATCCTATTAAATATTATAATATTGTATTCAAAACCTTATAAGATATTTAAAATCGATTATTAATTAAAAATTATATTTTGGGCTTAAAGAAATTCAATTAAATATTTATAAAGAATATAACCTTCTATAATAAATTATCAAAGTATATATCAATACAAATTAAGCAAATAATAAAACTAATCGAAAAAATATTTCTGGTGGAGTAGTAATATTTTATAATGAATTAATTTTATGGGCAAATAAAAAGCAAATATTTGTAGTTATATTTAATACAAAAACTAAATATATTTCTATAACAATATTTATTAAACAAAAGTAATAGGTAGTTTAATTTTTAAAAGACTTAGAATAATCACAATATATCAAGAATAATAATAAAATTCAAATATTAAAAAACAATTCAGGAGTGTTAGTACTAATTAAGAATCTTTATTTATATAAACAATTAAAGTATATTAATATATATTATCACTTTATTTAGAATCTCATAGAAAAATGCTTAATCAATATCAGCTATATCAATATAAGTAATATGACTGTAAATGAATTAACAAAATTATATGTAAAGATAATATTTGAGAGATTCAAGAATATACTAGGGCTTTAAAATTAATTATAAAAACTAAGAGAATAAGCTTTTTGGGGGAGTATTGGAAATTGTGGTATGTGTGTTATACTACTGTGCATATATCACTTTTATTCTATAGTTAGATTTTACCTTAGTATAATTAATCTATATAGTTAATATTATATGTATTCCACTGGCCTGCTCCTTTATTGTAAACATATACCTTATTAATAATCTTCCTAAGCTTATTATAAGTTATCTTGTCGTATGAATAATAATCCCAAATCCAATTTTTCATCTTATTCTATATATTCTCAATAGGATTGAGATCCGAACTAAATACTAACTATTTGATTTTTTCAATACCTTTTTCAATAAAATCTACAAGAGTAATACCAGTAGTATATCCAGAAGCTTTATTCTGTATAAATATATATTCTAAGTATATATGTATTTAATTATTAATAATAGGGATAATATAAACTTAATATAATTTAGTATTAATAATACTCCAATCCTTTTTTTGAAAAAAATCTGATTCTTTGTTTACTTTTCCTAAAAAATAATTTCAAAATATTTATCTAGCTTTTTTATACTCTTTTTTTAATATGTATATAGAATTAAGAGTTTTATTAATATAATATATAATGTATATTTAATAGTAAGATTTTGTAGTTATTTACATCTTATCTGATTATAAAATAGTATTCTATTATTTGTTAGTTTAATCAAAATATTCTAATATAAATTAAAGACAAATTAGATAATTGGTTTTTGAAATAAGGAATTTTTGAAAAGCAATATAGTATTTATAATCTATTCTTTTTAATCCATTTCGAATTATAGATTTATTTATTTCAATTTGTTTTAATTCAAGAATTATTCTTTAATATAATATTCATCTATATATTTTGAAAAAGCTAATAAATTTAATGATTTGATTAAACTAAAAGATTAACAAAATTAATAATTAGCTAAATTGTTTTTTAAGTATTATATATATAGAATATATATAAACTATTTGCCTATAGCTTAGATTAATATCATTTTAAAAAAAATATTCTTATATCTTTATAATTTTCTATTTAGTTTTATAAAAGATATATATTTCAATATATTGATCTCTAGTTATTTCATATCAAACTGAAGTTTTCGATATTAGCAATATAAAAAAAAATAGAATAGATTTAGCAAATAAAAAGATTGATATTGAAAATAATAATAATAATATATAATTAACTATTTTGATAATATCGATATATAAATTTTGATGAATTTCGAATTTGAATATTATCAATATCAAGAAGATTTTTATAAGGTTTTTAAAGATATTTAAAAGTACTGATTCTATTTGGATTTATTAAAGTAATACAAAAAGGGACAATTCAATCTATTAAAACCCCTGAATTCCCCCTTACAAAGATATATAGGATAAATTAATATCTTACACGACTTATGCTGTTAACCTCCGTACACTCTATTTTGATATAGGTAGGTAGCTATTAGAAATTATAAACTGTGTAATGATATTGAAATTGTAATCTAATAATATCTGTCACCAGACTCAACCCCCTTAATAACACCATATTTTTAGCCACAGCGTGATCTCTTTACCTCAGATCCCGACATTTAACCATATTGGTTTGCAAAATTTACCAGTTCACATCTTCTACAAGGTATAGGCTATCATTCTAGCACTAACAAGGTGGGTACACCCCATGCAAGATTCATTTAGCTCAATCGTGGGTACCTCCTTTGTTCTCGTTCAATCTTCGCTAAAGTCCTAGATTACTATCGGAGAGGCTCTATCGTAGCTGTATAAAGCGCCCATCCCCGATTGTAAGTCATCGAATCAACAACTCTCTGTGAAAACAGATATCAGGGAGTTTTCATGTAGTACGATTACTGCTCATCAACGTCAGATACTCCATATTCAAGAAAGCCCTACTATACAGAAGGTTCCTATCATGGTTTTTCGGATCCTCTTGAGATTCTCTACTCAAAGACGTGGACAAACTTTGACATATTTCCGAATTCCCAACAAAAGCTAAGCCTGATGAAAACGATAATGAATGAAGTATAATGCAAGTGAAGAGTATTGACGGTAACAATATGTTAGAAGATAGTAAATTCGGAATGCTCAAACTCACAACAAATATAAAGAATCGATAAAACCAAGTGTGTGACATGAGCTTCAGGGGGGACCATTCAATCACCCCTTTCCCGAACTGTTCTTTTTTCCTTCTGGGAAGAAAAGTAGCATACTTATGGCAAGACCTTCCTGGGGTTTTTCGTATCCGGAAAAAATTTGTTTGATACTTTGGAACTCAGTAGAGCTCACGATATTTATATATCCAGGTACACAGGAAGATATCCTTGATCGCTTTCGAGCTATTCACTAATCAGTCATCGGCATCCAACCTTCAATTTTCATGGCGAGAATACACTACTTGGCCCGATCTACTCTCTACTCACCAATCCCTCCCGCATGCTATCCCGCTCTTCCTCCTCCCGTTACCTAAATCACTCCCCCAAACTCTTTTCCCGTCACAATGAAAATTTAAACCCTCCATTACTATATAAAACCCCTTTTCCCAATCCATTTCCTTCCATCCTCATCCATCCAGTAAAGATACAACTCTGAGAGACCTCCAAGGGAATCCACGGAAAGCAAATACTTGCTCAAGCTCATCACCGCGAAAAGCGCGTCGCTCATCAAAGTACCAGATTCGACGCCAAGACTTCGGATTTCTTCTCGTGGTACCTACTAGACAGGCTGCATCTGACATGATAAATCGGCAATAAGTCTCAGATGACAAGAAAAAAAGAAAAATAACAATCATATCATATTCCATATCATCGCACCTGCTCATCAATCTGCTTAGACCGCACTTTTCTGAACCGCACATCTCCAAACCCCTATATTCTGAACGAAAAGCCCACAGATCAAATTTCCTGCCATGCCAGGAGATGAAATCTCCATCCTGAAAGTATGTCGAAGAAAATTCAGGGTTCCTCATAGCCCTACAATATATATACTGTATGCCACAAGCAGAAAGGAGATGATCGGTTGAACGACTCGGTAAGGCAACTGGCCTAGTCACTTCAATTTTCGCTCAACAAACATCCATCTTTACTGTCATCAGAATTCCAAACATGGCCCAAATCACAAGACTATACCTAGGTATCATAGAATCCCATCTTCAATCAATCATATTGACTTACCCAGTCGTCTAATTCCGCTACCCATTCCAAGTGAATTGAACTCAACTCATCTCTCCTTTGTTGTCATACACTCCTAACAACCACGATTCCAATCATCACAAGAACCTAAAGCCCTGAAAGAAAACTTCATTCCATCCTAAGATCGCTAACAATAAACGACAATAGGTAGTCAAAGATTCACGAGAATGACAATAAATACTCCCAGAATGATCAGATCTTCCTCGTTGTTCAGTCGAGAGGATCTCCAAAATTTCAACTGCTGCACTCTGAATCCGGAAATAATTACTGGTCATCCTCACTACAAATTCTCCCCCATCACAAACGTCCATACTGCAGTTCATCAATGGGTACTTCGTGGCATTTACATCCCATTATTCCCCCAGATATCCAGTTATACATTCACTGATCCTTTTTGATTCTCTCCACATTCCTCTCTCACTCTCGCTCTGCTATTCACTCTCTTCTCTTTTTCTCCTCTCATTCCTTCCTCTCACCCTCCAATCCCCCAACCCACACCTTTTCTCTCTCCAACAAATACAAACTCTCAACCCCTAAATTCCCCCCTCCTCCCAGAACTACACTCACCAACCCATCCCCAGAACCCTCATCTCCACCCAAACACTCTATCTATACTCTTTATACCAGCATAAACAACATCCAACATCTACCCATATACATCTCAGCATTGCCAAGAACAAAAACGGAAGAATTCTCTACATTTCGATGCCACTGTGGAACTGGGACGCCTATCTAAATCATCCTCGCTAGATTCTCGAATCGTCAAATTTACGACCTGCAGCCCTTTACTTAGATCGAGGCGAAGGTGCTGATTTATGCTGTCGGAATCATGTTGTAGTCTTCGCTATAATACTGGCACAAAATAAATATATTCTCTGAGAATCAACACCCACACATTCATTCACCCATTCATTCGATTTCGCCAGGATATCATGAAAACAAGTCGATTTGAAGAACAATCGACCTTGTACTCAAAAAACCGCAAATTCGTACATTATACTATTATCTAGCAAATTCAGCCAAGCAAATAATTCCATCTTTTGTATATCAGGTACCAGTCTCTTGCCCACTGTCTAACTCCCCAATATATCCGTCTCTGGTAGCAAGTATAGCAGGCGAATTCCCGTCTGTGTGCACTTGCTCCCAACTCCCGAATAATTTTCAACCCAAAAGCAACACATATCTATAGCCATTAACCATTAAGGAAATTCATACTTCGTAGCATAATCAGACTTCGTATTCTCTGTATTTTTAACAGGATGAAGCAGGAGTGGAGGAAGACACGGCCTGCCATGTATTTTCTCCCACTGTGTACGTACGTTAGTTACTGTGCACGAGCCAAGCCAAGATTGAAACATACCTCAACCCCACCAATTCCATGATCCTCCCATCCCATCCAATTATTATACAATCTACCTGGTGGAATAGCTCTATAATACCATGTCATCCCCAGAAATCTTTTTTCTTTACCCCAACCGTATGGACTATTCGACGAAATACCACTTTCTCCCTTCGGTCCAGGGTTGAACCATTTGTTTAAACTCGTCCCATTCCAAGCTCTGTCAAAGAATATTGGAAGTGGTGCATACACTGCTTTCAGTCCATGGAGCAGAGCGACCGTCTGGGGTGTCATTTCGCTGCTGACATGATTCCCCTTAAGATTCTCAGTATGCATAGCATCCAGCAACTTCTTACTACACATTGAATGTGTTATGATGGTTGTACGACGAGGAGTATCATTCCGTCCATCGAATCCCCAGACATCGTTTTTTCCAACCCATCCAGTGCCATTTGGATTGAACATTGGTGCAACAGAGATGTAATCTGCCACTTCGCCAACGCCCCATTCATAATTGTCTTGTGCTGGGTCTGAAATAGGTGGCGGTGGACCAGTAGGAATGACATTTGCAATCTTTGGTGGAGCCCATATCGTATCTTTGCCCGAAAGAATTTCTACTGACTTGCGAAACTCAGTATTGTAAGAACCATGTATCGATGGAATATAGTATCTTTCATTCCGTTCCCACAGGTATTTTCTTGGTTGGTCCATTCCAAACTTGGTGAGTCTCTCGAGAAGATCATAGTGATTGCCAGTATATCGAGTGTCCATTTCCCAATTCCAATAGAAGTCAAATTGTGGATAATCAAGTGCAAAGATCTGAACGGGAAGCCATTGAGATTGATGTACGTTGGTAACCTTTTTCGGAATAAGTGGGTAGAATCCCTGTACGTAAGCTTCATTCCAAAGCACCGCGATGTCATGAAATTCTGTGGGAACATTTTTTTGAAGAGCTTCGATGTAGTCTACGTCGTTCTCAATGGCGATGGTACTGTTTCTGATATGAACCAGCAGGAAAACCTCGTACTCCCCTCCAGATTTCAAAGCTAGCTCTGTGATAAGCGAACGAACATTTTGCTTGTCATTGTCGTTCCACTTCTTTCCAGAGTACGATCGAAGCATAATCGCTGTACGTGATTTGAAGGGCTCTTTTGCATCAATTGTGGCTTGGGCTGCCTTTGCTAGGTGAGCCTTAACTGAATTATCTTTCGGCTCATTCTCATCATCCTGGTTTCGATTAACGATAGTGCCAAGTACTCTCTTCTTGGTGTTGGTTTCTTTTGTCTTCGAGTCATTCCATGCCGACGATGAATTTTGAGCATGGATCATTATTTCTCCGTTAAGTGGTTCAGGATTCTCGGAAATCAGGTATCGGTTTCTGTTCTTTTCAACACATTGAGTTTGAAGCGATCCCCAGTTAACATCATCCCATTGTATTTGTGCAGGCACATCGCGTTTATGCTGAATTTTCCCAGCAAGCGAACCAACGCTAATCGGTTCCATGAGGTCTTCCGTATATCCGTATAAACTGAGCCTAGTTTCTCTCTCGAAGCATAAGTTACTATCGATATCAAATATCGAGAATGATCCCATCTGCGGTTCTTCGAAGACTTTCGAATGTCCTGAAAACGCCACGATATTTTTGATTGGTCCATCTGCACCATCGCATGGCACATAGAATCCATTATTTTTTGACTTCCAAATTTCACTATTATAGTCGGGATATGGGTTGTACTCAAGTGGTTTCGATTTGCTATACAATTTCCAGACATCGATCTCTTTAAGGACAGACAAGTGAGATTCAGTATGCGAACCTGCTCCTATAGCTTCATTCAGTGTGTTCCCATAAATCTGGCCCGCACTTGGTTCCCTGACAAAGATATTCAGCAAACAGACAGTCGTAGCTAGCTATTACAAACTTACTGTCCAAGTATCGCGTTCTCTTTCGCGAACTCATCCTGAATGATGGACGTGGCAGTTGAAGTTGAGGTTTGTGAAGAGGATGTCACTGTTATCGTGGCCTCGTGGTTTTGTATTGACAAATGAATGGTAACTCTGCTACTCACAATCGCAGGTTTGATGAGGGTCGGCGGATCAATTGGCGCTTTTGGTGGAGCTTGGAACAAGTCCTCTTGTGGCTTTGGGACGCCAAGTACCAGAGAATCGATTATTTGAATGGTAGGTACTTGTTCAAACCCTGGTCCTTTCACGATTTCCGTCGTCGCTGTACCTTTATATTGTTCAACCACATGGCTTACAATCTTTCCGCGATTTCTTAACAGCGTCCAAAGAATGAAGAGCGCCCCAATGGCAGAGAAGAGACTACTCCTATACCGTAGAAGCATTTTGTTTAAAGAAATTAATGAGGGTTTTAATGATTGACTGAAGGAATTATGAGAAATGAATGAGAGTGAACATGGAAAGAAAGATCAAAAACCCATTTCTGGTATGAATTGAAAATCAGTGGAAGTGAAATGAAGAGAACATTCGATTTTTCCTCCGTTTGCTCCAAGTGCCAATTGAAAGTATACTTCACTTGGTGGTCCTAGGTAGATATCTACCAGGTATCTCAGAATTGTCCTTAAAAGGGAAGGAACTTCTCTCCTCTCTGCTCTTGCGAGAGCAAAAACACGTGACCCTCAATCTTTATGGTCCGTGCATATGTTAATCTGATCACAACGACCTTCCCTTCCCTTCCCGCTCCGTCAACTTTGATTTCTTTCCTTCCTTCCTTCCTTCCTTCCTTCCTTCCTTCCTTCCTTCCTTCCTTCCTTTGCGGGTAACGACATTAAATGACAACGTATCACCGTTTATACCGTTCATACAGATCATCCTTCAAATGTGACGGAATCGATTGCTCGAATATTGATTTATCATCAAACCGCGATTCAGTCGAATGTCCAATATCTCGGCATCGTGCATATGCAATTTTAACCCGCATATGCAATCATCTTTCTTCGAGAGGTTACTGGTTGAAATCTTGGCAGCCCCTCATCTGAGTGCAATGATGGGAGCTGAGCGATTGCAGATCATGATGACGAGCATATTTTATCATCGCAAGTCATCATTTTCATGGTCCTGATTGTCCGTTGTATTTTGTACATAGGTTGCAGATGGTCATCTACCTGACAACATCCATGAGGGGTAAAATGCAGGTCAGCTCCATCTTGGCAAGTGCCCGGTAGATTGTAGTGCCACCCTCGGTACTCGACTCGTTGATTTTCAACATAACGCATTACAATGTCCAAATAAGAAGGCAATCTCACCCATGTCACCACTCATGAGCCTATCAGATTGGTTCCTATCGATTGACCCTGGTGGTAAACGCCTAACAAATATGCATCATTTTCTTGAGGGGAGACGCCTCGTAGGCACCTCTCGGTGGAGTATTCGGTTGAAGACTATATCCTCGGTGTTTGAAAATACATTTATATAATAGGTAGCTTCTACTGTGCGATACGATACGACGTTTAATGCTATCTGCAATCATTAATCAGTCAAGATGCTTCTCTCCAACATCAACATTTACCCAACGTTGAATTTTTTGGTCCTCACAATAGTTACTTCTATTGCCTATCGTATAATTTACAATTTATACTTTCATCCTTTGGCAAAGTTTCGTGGGCCATGGTATTCATCTTGCTTTTCTCTCCCTCTAGCGATCATTTCGATAAAAAGATGGGAACATCAATGGGTAGATGGTCTGATCAAGAAATATGGAAGTGTGTTGAGCTCTCCAGATAACAATGTTCACCAGAAATTAAGCTAATAGTTATCAGGAGATGCACCAATTCGTGTTGCCCCTGAAATGCTCCTCTTTCCACGGCCATCCGCGTTGAAAGACATATATTGGGACCGAAGCCTTAACGAAAAGTCTACTTTCTATGGTACTGGTCTCTTTGGTCCACCGAGCTTATTCACTACCCTTCCATCTGTCGAGCATGTACCTTTAAGAAAAGCATTAGGGGCTGCACCAGTAAGTCTTATGCTCATTATTAATGAAATTCAAACAACGATCTTTCTCTTATTTCAGCTCATTCAAGAGCTTTTTTCATTATCGCTGACATTAAATATTCAGTGGGCAATTGGAGACGTGCGAAAAGATTGGGAAAGAAGCATGGATGATCAAATCCTCCTTTTCACTAAGATTATGGCTGAAAAGGCAAAGGCAGGTGAAACAGTTGATCTCTGTGATAAATTAGCGTAAGTTGTTCGTTTTCTCAAGCATTCAAAGCATCAGCTTATCCTTGACAGAGAATTTGCAGCCGATATAATGACGATCTTCTCGTTTAATCAACCATGGGGCTTCGTAAAAGCCAGTCGAGATGAACGAGGGTTACTTCATAACTGGAGAGAAACCCTTGATTTCATTGGTTTCACGGCCAGATTCACCTTCTTTCGGAAATACATCCTCAGCCTTCCAGGAGTTGCGTCGTGGGCATTACCCGAGCCTAGCAGTCAACATGGTATGGGATATCTAATTCATGAAGCCGACCGCGCCATCACACAGCGCGAATACGAAGTATGTCAAGGCTTATATCCGGAGAAGCCGGACTTTTTACAACAGTGAGCATCTTCATCTCAGGTTATCGTCTATGGGCATTGTACTGAATTCTGCAGTTGTCTTGATGCAAGGATCAACGACGAACCACTTGCTCCCCTACAAAAACGTTCTCACGTGACCCTTCTTATCCAAGCCGGCGCTGACACAACCGGTACTGCACTCGGCGCCATTATCCGGTTTCTAGCTACAACACCAGGTTGTTACGCGAAAGCATTGGCCCAAATTCGTGAGGCTGAAGCGAAGAATTTGCTCTCAACGCCAATCCAGGATGAAGAAGTACGAGCTCATCTTCCATATTTAATCGGCGCTGTCAAAGAAGGCATGCGTTTAAACCCCAGCGTAACCAACTGGCTTCCGAGGATCGTTCCGCCAGAGGGGAAGATGATCAATGGATTTTTTGTGCCAGGTGGGATGGACATTACGAGTCAAGCTATGGTCGTACAAAGGGATCCAATTTTGTTGTAAGTTTTTGCTTTGGTGTCTTCTCTTCCCTCGTCGTTCCTTCTTCTTCTATGTCTTTCCCGCTGACACAAAAAAGCGGACCCGACCCAGATGTCTTTAGGCCAGAGCGCTGGATGGATGGTCAAGATGTGGAATTGGAACATGGTATGTTCATTTTTGGAGTTGGCCCAAGAGTTTGTTTGGGAAAAGAGATTGCATTGATGGAAACCTACAAGCTAGTATCCGAGGTGAGTGATTTGATTCCGTTGGCTCTTTAAATATTCGGAATTAGAGAGATGGGAGAGTCCTGGATGTAATAAAAGGATAAGTAAGGTAGGAGATAGGTGGATATTAGGTGGAAGAGAGAAGGGAAAAGAGAAGGGAAAAGAGAAGGGAAAAGAGAAGGGAAAAGAGAAGGGAAAAGAGAAGGGAAAAGAGAAGGGAAAAGAGAAGGGAAAAGAGAAGGGAAAAGAGAAGGAGGGCTCAGTCAGAACATTAGTGGTGAGATGAACTAACATACTCTCTAAAGATCGTCCGACGTTTCGATATCGAAGTCATCGAGAAGGGAACATATATTTCCGCGGGTGGAATATCATACAACGAGGGCTTCATCGTGAAAATGCATCCACAGACGGTGGATTGATCGAATTTCCCTCTCAGTAAATTGGAACTTGTCCATAAGAGTTCTGAGCTTGAAGTGCTTCCTTGGCCTGTTGTTATTGGAGGACTGTGTCTAGCCGATTGGAGCTTTTCATTTAGCTTGGCTTTTCTTTCGTCTCTGTCAAGGGCGTGGAAAGAATGATCAGTGGTATTACATGACGGATTTCCTGACTTAACGAATCAAATATATTGAGAATTTCATCATCGCATAGCTTAGTCCATTCTTCATGTCGTCCTGGTTTTCAATATATATATATATATATATATATATTCGACCCACATACGAGGACCAAACACAGCAATTTTATCAAAAAGGAATTTCACAAGATCAGTTTTAAATTCATGATTCTATGACTCTGGTTTAGGAGAGCCCAGATGTGAAATAATATAATTTGCCCCGGAAAATATTTCATTAGAAGTTATTGTAATTGAATCATAAGATTCTTTATTACACCCCAATATTACAATACTTCATAAGATAAGTCTACAGCATTAGCGTATTACAAAAAGAAATTGACTGGTGCACATTACACAGTTGAAGCTTTGGATGTGGTAAGTTTGATCGCACTGAAGATCTGAGTACGGTTTCACCAAATTGACAGATGAATTGGTATGCACATGATTGAGGAAACTCCTAAGCGATCAATGTTTACTTGATCCATAAAAGTTCCTAACCTCCGTTGCGTTTCTTATCTCCACACTTCGTTTTATTCTACGATACTAGTAGAACTCACCAATTGCATCTAGAATTGTAGTAAGTATCTCTAGCCCAACAATGCCAGATAACGAGGTATCATGCACTTATTTTGGTAGAATTGACTGTGCAGTTGATTTGATACCCGTTCAGAAATAAGTGTGATTCCAGCTAAAAAGCGATGACTTTATCGGCGGAAATAATAATTTCGACAGTTCGCCACCAATGATGAATTGATTACAGCTGGTACTGGTAGTGCATCGACAATCGAAACCGCCCGGGGACATGATCGTCGTCAATTGACGAGGGGAGAAAGATTCGGTGCTGTTATATGCGAGCCTGTGGCTTTTAATTGGTTGATCGGCATGATGCTGGTTGTCTTCTATCGGCGAGGAACACGAGTAAGAGGGTTGAAGAGAGACTCTCAAAGATACAGTAATGCGGAGCTGGATTCTAGACCGTTTTCAACCACGTTTTGCGAAAATTGACGACTTAGGAATGTACCAGAATTGGGGGTTGCAAATGTGAATGAGCTTCCAGATAATTGTAGCGCGGGTATCCCCATAAAATTGGAAGGGGGAGGTATTTTTCCATGAGATTGGTCAAGGTCGATGCAGGAGCCGGCAGAGTTCTCAACCCTTGGGCTGTTTCCGAACTTTGAGCGGCTTCGACTGTTTCTTCGCTATTCGTTCCCTCTCTTTCTCGGCTGGATCGACAATCAAAGTCTTAAACACATCATCATCCCTATGAGTTAACTTTTTTTCACCTAGATCATTGTTAGTGATGCCTCAAATCAGGGTTGTGGGGACCGCTTACAAAATTCCGTATATGCGATCTTAAGCTCCGAGAAAGTATTCGCAAGCACTGGAGCATCCGGGGCTACTCTTCCGGCAGCTTCAGCTTCCCATTCAGTGGTCAGTGGTGTATTGTCGCCTCTGCAAAGAGTGCTGAATGCCACAGCCAATTGCTTGTACATGAAACCACATTGTTCGGATCGTTTTTGAGGATCTGTTTTTCCGGGGTGAATGCAATTTTTCAGGTCTTCATCTGTCTTGCATCTTGGAAGATTAGATCTCAACTCGATTCGTACGACTCGTTCCCGATAGAAAAGCATCAGTCTTAACAAACATATACCGGCAATAATACGCGTTTGTTTGTTGCTTGCAGACTTCTTGCAGAGATTTTCAATTTCGGAAAAGAAGTACTTTTCAGCTTCCTCGAGACCCTCGGAGGCTTTGAGGCGGACTTGTTCGCGGACGGTATCTGGAGAGAAAGTATCATTGATTGTGTTGACTACATCAAGCTGGCCATGGGGATGGCAATGGATATTCGCCACTCCATAGAAAACAAGGCTATTTAAGCTCGTGATTCTGAATGCGGCATTACATAGACATGCCTGTCATTGGTCAATCAAAATCCAAATTTTCTTAGAACAAGAAAACTCACCAGGTGCGACCCAAAATATTGTTTGCAATAGATGTAAAGAAATTTATCCAAGATGTGGGTTATTTTACCAGAATGACTCTCAGGAGAAGATAGAAGAATTTCCCTGCCGAAGAAATCCAGTTCATCAACGGTAGGCAGTGAGTCTGGGACAACTAGATATGTCTTATCTCGCAACGACTTGTGCGTTATGTAAACACCATTCATTTTTGTCAAACTTCTCCACCGGCAGAAATCTTCAGATCTACAAACCATCACTTTACAAGGAAGTGAGCGACATGGAAAATTTGCCATGGAACAGTCGGCACGAAGTTCAACCTTTGCCATGTGACCTTCAAGCGCACTAAGTAGTTGATATACTTGCGCTTTCCCCGACGTGAGCAATCTGGTTTGAACATCTATGTTGAGTCAGTATCTAGAAGAGTATCTTTGGGTGGTTCAGGCTACCTGTGACTCCAAGGTACACATCTTTCAATTTATGTCGGATGCAAATTTGTCGAGCCATAAGTGGATCACCAGCCAACTTGAAGCATCGGTCACAAACGCCATCAGATGTACACTGCAATATTAGATCCTTACTCCGGTGACGAATATAGAGATAATTAACTCAACTTACCTCGACCTTACGAGCTCGACAACTCTGACACGCTCCAGCTTGTCTAACCAAATGAACTTTCAGCTTTTCCCGTCGATTGAACTCTTTTCTTTTTCTCTTCGGCGCTTTTACTCCACTATGAAAATTTATCAAACAGTCTTCCATGTTTTGAGGAGTTGCCACAATTGTTCCATTGAGGGATGAAGTTGCTTGATCCTCAGCATGGGAGGGTTCTATCTGAGACTCTGATGGTACTGATTCGGGCACCTCCTTTTTAACCTCATCAATTGGCGAATCTCTTTCAGATGCACCACTATTCAAGCCTCTATTCTCAAAAGAAATCCGAACTTTAGATTGAACAGGCTCACAAGGTATTTGCGGCTCTGCAAATGAATTATCTTCCGAAGAGGGGTAAAGTATCGACTCGGGTGACTCAAGAAATGATGTAAGCCACCCGTCAGACTCGAGATTTGGAAGATGACCACCAAGAGTATTGCAACTATTGAAAGAGAAATCCATCGCAGCTGCATCCGAAAAGTAAGTGCTTGAAACATTATTGTTAGCCGTATCAAATGCCCAAGGACCATTGCCTGGCTCTACAATGGATTGAGGCGGAAGGACCGGGTCCACCATTTGCCATTGAGAATTGATATCTAGATTATCCTGTAAGAATGTATCCATATCAAAAGCAGAATCTGGAAATGTCATGAATGACTCCAGCTCCTCGTTCGTAATGTTTTTCTCCTCAGAAGATAATTCCTCAGCATCGTGTGGGCCTTGGATCGTCATCCGGGGTAATTCTCCATTGATGCGAGACTCCATTATGCAGGATTGTGAGTCTGCTTTGCATGAATATGTGGGTGGCAGGAGACGATAGTCACAATTGATAAGATAGTCTAGCCTCCGAACTGAATAGCTGCGAGATGATCTTAGTTTTTATACCACTAAAATGTGAAAGGTATCTCGAATCTCAAAAGAACATTGCTTCAATCAGGAGTTAGTGGGGCGAAAATTTTATCTGACTACACCCGTGATTATGCGGAAAAGAGTACCGAAATAATGCCGTTGAAGCCGACGGCTACAAACAAAACTAGCGTAGAGTATTCTTCTACAATGTTAGCAGATCGAATCAAGTAGAAGTATTTTCTTCTGGATCAGTGAAATGAATGAATGATGGCAAGACTACAATAAACGATTAATAATGGGTATCGACCATAACTCGGATGTTCGGGCTGCGTCGGAGATATCGGTTCCTGGCCGGGCCGGCAAATAAATTCTACTTACCCGATCAAATATCGGAACGCCCGGGGCTCCATAGACACTGTCGCAAAGATGTTCATGTTCGATAATGGAATTTGGAGTCCTCGATGTCAGGAAACCATAAACTGGTCTAGTTCTGGCAGTATTCGTGCTCTCAAAAGGAACACGGTAGGCCGTTCGCTGAGGCTACAACTATAGCACAACTATATGCGAGTGCAGCGGAACTCAAGGCGAATGGGAAGCTTCTGAGGTCCAACATATGTAGATGTAAACGCATTAAGATTCAAACAGAACAGTGTCACCAAGGAAGTAGACTATGCACCTTGGCACCGATTTTGAAGATATCCGGCCATGAGAACAAATTCATAGATTCAGAAAGTTTTGAGGGAAAATTAAAGTTTTTAATGGTCTTCATGTAAGTTCCGGGGAAGTAGCAGATTAGCAGAGAAATAGTCTCAGAACGGAACTCAACCGAGAATGGACTCAACCATCGGGTGATGATAGCGGACAACACATGCCAAGACTCTGGTCATATGACTTTTGTCCGAAGAAACACCGACGAGCACATGACAAGACACGAGAACCTTCACGTTACATACCTCCGTCGGTAGACCTCCCCCGTACAACATCTCAACCTTTGAACAACCTGGATGCCAAGCGGTGAAGTACTCCATGTTGCATCCATAATTTATTTCCATGCGTATAGGAGCGCATATGAAGCACATACGTATCCGATATCACTGGCTGCTTGCTAACCTTTTCACGGGCGTCGACAAACAATCCCGACCGGTGCAGGTGAGAATTGACCGGGCATTATCTTGTGCCCCCTCATCTCTCAAAGGATTCACTTCCATGTCATGAGCAAAATAGTGTTATTGTGGGGTAGAGACTAGCGAGGGACCAAGACGACCCGTCATCTTTCATGCAGAATTCGCGGGGATGAAGACAAAATGAGGGGTAAATTGTGTAAATCGGCCCGTTCAATTTTGCGCATTGCTTCTTCCAATAGTAAATTTGAACTATAAGTACTTCTATTGACGGCCAGCGGCCGAGGAAAAGTATACTAAAGTATTTTCGTCTCTAGCGATCTTCGTCGTCTTCGTCTATCAAAAAACTATCGAGATGCGATTCACCCCAAGACCTGCATACACAATGGCGTTCTAGGAATTATCACTTGCATGTCAAAACTTGTTGTCAACCTGTCTCATGCACGGTTACATCCGTATATATGCAAGCTTCCATGTCGATCACAAGTGAATTTCCTACTTTGAATTTGCCCCTTAATACCCCGTCCAGGTCTACGGAGTATAAGAAGCGACGGATATTTGGAAAAATCAATCAATATCGTCAAGTTAATCAACATGGTCAAGACCATACTTTTTTGGCTGTTGTTTACAGCAAGGGCTGTTTCAGCAGGAAATATTGACTTCTTACGTCGTGATACAAGCCACCATCCTAATACCACACTTCCTCTCTCGAAATGTCCAGGTTACAAAGCTTCTAATGTCAAGACAACAGAATCAACACTTTCCGCAGATCTGACTCTGGCTGGTCCTGCTTGCAACACTTATGGTACTGACCTGAAAGTTCTATCTTTAAAAGTGGCATATGAAACAGGTTGGCAAGCTACAAAGCAATACTACTATTCTTGCTAACTACTACTAGATGATCGCATACATGTGCTGATTCAAGATCCAGCTAATGTTGTGTACCAAGTTCCCGAATCGGTCTTCCCTCGCCCTACTGGATCGTCGGCCAATCCCAAGGATGCCAATATCAAATTCCATTATGTTAGCTCCCCGTTCTCATTCTCGATTAGACGAGCAAAGACAGGCGAAGTCTTGTTCGACACTTCCGCTGCGAGTCTTGTATTCGAATCGCAATACTTGAGATTGAGAACAAAATTGCCGGCCAACCCAAATCTGTATGGTCTCGGCGAACACTCCGATGCGTTTCGTTTAAATACTACCGATTATGTTCGCACGCTGTGGTCTCGTGACGCCTATGGAACTCCTGCAGGTAGCAATTTATACGGAAACCACCCGGTATATTTTGAACATAGGACTGGTGGTACTCATGGAGTGTTTTTCATGAATTCTAATGGTATGGATATAATGATCAACAATACAAATGGGGAAAATCAGTATCTTGAGTATAACACTCTTGGGGGTGTTTTAGACTTTTACTTTCTAGCCGGACCCGATCCAATTGTTCTGTCTCAATAGTATTCAGAGCTTGTTGGATTACCCGCAATGATGCCTTATTGGGGTTTTGGGTTCCATAATTGTCGTTATGGTTACCAAGATGCTTTTGCAGTTGCAGAAGTTATCTATAATTATTCGAAGGCAGAAATCCCTCTGGAGGTTATGTGGACAGACATTGATTATATGGATGCAAGAAAGGTAAGGAGTATATCATGCCTGAAACACACATAGCTAATTCTGAAAGACTTTCACTCTCGATCCTGAGCGCTTTCCATTAGATATGATGCAAGACATCAATCACTATCTTCACAATCACGACCAAAAACAAATTCTCATGGTCGATCCCGCAGTTGCATATAAAAATAACCCTGCTTACGATCGTGGAGCTGTCGATGATGTTTTCCTCAAGTGAGGTAATGGATCTTTCTGGCTTGGCGTCGTATGGCCTGGAGTTACTGTATTCCCAGATTGGTTTTCCAAAAATGTCGTTAGCTGGTGGAACAATGAGTTTTCTACATTCTTCGATCCAGCGACTGGCGTTGATGTTGATGGATTATGGATCGATATGAATGAACCATCAAATTTTCCATGTTACTTCCCATGCGATAATCCATATGCATCAGCAGTAGGATTTCCTCCTGATCCACCTGCAGTCAGAACACCACCTCGTGCATTACCTGGGTTCCCCTGCGCATTTCAGCCTTCTGGTACAAGCAATTGCACAGATGCAAGCAGCAGACGATCAATTACTAGCAGAGATCCCAAGATTGTCTTGCCGACTCAAGTAAATCCCGCAAAACGAGCATCAGGGGCACAGCAAGGTCTGCCCGGACGCAATTTACTTTACCCCGGGTACGCAATCCATAATGCTGCGGCGTATCTCCCTTCCTGGAACGCCGCTGAAGGAGGAATCTCCAACCAAACAATCAATACAGATGTAATCCACGAGAATGGTCTCGCTATGTACGACACCCATAATCTTTACGGAACCATGATGTCGACCGCTTCCTATGACGCAATGGCAAACCGCCGGCCGGAAGATCGTCCTTTGATCATTACACGCAGCACATTCGCCGGTGCGGGTACCAAAGTAGGTCATTGGCTTGGAGACAATTTCAGTGATTGGCTCCACTACCGTATGTCCATCCGTGGCATGTTAGCTTTTGCATCTATATATCAAATTCCCATGGTTGGCGCCGATGTATGCGGATTCGCAGAAGACACTAACGAGGAACTATGTGCTCGCTGGGCCATGCTCGGTGCTTTTGCCCCATTCTATCGTGATCACAACAGTTATCCCCCAGTGATTAGCCAGGAATTCTATCTCTGGCCTGCCGTCACCGAAGCAGCTAAAAAGGCGATCGATATACGGTATCGATTGTTGGATTACATATACACAGCTTTGTATCGACAATCCGTTGATGGAACGCCACTCATCAATCCTATGTTTTACATTTACCCATCTGATCCCGCCACCTTTGGATTGGAAACACAGTATTTCTATGGGCCGGGAATTCTTGTTAGTCCAGTCATGGAAGGTAATTCTACGACTGTGGATTTATATCTTCCGAAGGACATATACTATGATTTCTACACGCATGCTCTAGTGACTGGCCGTGCAAACACAATTCAAATTACCGATCAAAATATCACAGATATACCCCTTCATTATCGCGGTGGAGTCATTGTTCCTCAACGCATCGAAAGTGGGATGACTACCACAGAAGTTAGGAAACAAAATTTTGAGATCATTGTTCCAGTTGGTGCTGATGGGACAGCAAAAGGAGAATTGTATCTAGATGATGGAGTAAGTATTGTGCAAGAAGGACATTCATTAATTGAATTCTACTGGGATGGCAAAACTTTTGATGTATCCGGACATTTCGGATATGATGCTGGGGTAAGTATTGAGAGGGTAGTGTTCTTAGGATTGACCAGTAGCACTAGTAGCACTGGAAAGCAATATAGCACAAATGCGAATACGCAGGTTAGTGCTCAAGGCGATATAGTTGTGAAGGTTGCAAAGGAATTAAGTGGGGGATTTTCAATCGCAGTTTAAGGTTAAAGGAGGGAATACGAGGGTCTTGGTGATGTTGAGTGATGAGAATGGCGAACGGCGGTACATAATGTTAGCAAATAATAATACATAACAGCTTGTTATTGCAACTAATTTCAATGAAATTGTGTTTTGGATATTCCTGATGAATTTTCATTTATCACACTGTATGATATGACAGGATAGAAAGTTCTTTGTGTACATCGACCACGTCTCACCAGATAGTAAAGTATTACTTCAAGAGTCTGTTACCGGAGTTTGCCGAGATCTTAGTCGTTGTCAGGGCGTTGTTTGCACTCCCCAGATAGTCGGAAGATAGATGAATGTTACATTCTGAACTTCAAAATTGCCGTGAGATTGCAAAGAGTCGCTGACGACGTGAGTCATCGTCAGTTTGAACAGACAAAACGAAGGATAACTGAACCTGAACAAGTGGTATTCCTGACTTGTGGGATATGTGAATCACGGCACCTCATTATCGCTTCGTTTGTTTATTTATGGCTATAAATAATCCGGTTGAACCTCATACATTCTCATCAATCACATCAACATTGCTATACACCGCATGTCCCATCAATCATCGATATCTACCTGTAAGACAACAACCAAATTTTAGAATGTCAGACCCGCCTATGTGCCACATCTGCAGATAAATGTCTAGACGCTCAGCGCGAAGAGTGAATATCCTTTCGACCCCACATAGCTCAAACTAACTCAACTCGCAGTTCGTCCTCTTGAATCCAGGCAAATTGGAAAACTGCTTGCAATCAAACAAGGAGGAGAGGAAGAAAAAAGGAGGATCGAAGAAGCGGCTAAGAGAGAAGGGACAAGCGAGGAAATTGCAAAACATGAGTAAACTTGGAAGTGAAGGAAGGCTCTCAGGGCACTACTGTCCCAGGTACAACTTCCAATTGGGCGAATCTTGATTTCTGGGAGTAGATACTTAGCTAAGCGCGGCTCCAGTTGAGGAATTTGGGGAAGCTGAAGTTAGCAGCGATCGCGGACAGGTCTATGCTCAAATTGAATAAGTACATACTCTGCGAACATAGTTTCATATAACATCAGTAGCTAGATTCACAAAATTCAAGTGCAATCGAGGGATCTGATACATTGATAATATACCATTGTTGAACAAGGTATTTAACTTCACTACTCTTCGAAGCAAAAAAAATTATCTCATCCATCTTCTAATCATTCATAAACTGTTAACTTTTAATATTTTCATAACCTATGAGGTCACCTGGTGGGTTTCTCGTCTATTCTACATAGAGATGCTCCACATATTGTGCAAAGCGATCTCTCTGGTATTAAGCGACCTCTTCGCAAACAGATATTCCAAAAATCTATTTCCACTGCATCAGCAGGTCATCATATAACCACACAAGATAAGACGGCACTTACTCCCACCTTGCAGCAAAGTGCAAGTGTTTCTTCACCTGTGCAAACCTTTTTGCATTCGTCATCAGTGGTTGAAACTGCATTTCCAGACAGATCTATACGATTCTTAGTTATCTACAATCGGCATCAATAGCAAAAATGGGGTTACCAGAGTACTGTTCTCTGTGGAACAAATTCGACCTTGATGTCAGGTTCTAAATCGTCCAAAGCCTGGAGCAGTAACTTTCAGTTTTTGAAAGAGCCGTCTGGAATTGCGGTGGAACATCAAGCCACCCTGCGAATACTTACCTTTCGATCATATCTGAAGTCCTTCGGAATAAATTTAATCAGTGGTTCAGTATCACTTAACGCTAAGAGCAATCTAAAATTCTTAAATGATTTGATAAACTCAGTATTCACTTCCCATATATATCCAAGCTGCTAGATGACAAAGAAACTTGAGAGCATGGCAGCGCTAAATCAACAACAAAAGCGAAGTCAGAATTTCGCGAGCTTGTATAACATCGACAGGAAAATTGCAATCTATAGCGGTTTTCGGTGAGCAGAGAAGAACAGGGCAAAGCAGGACTGATACAGTATTCCACGAAGATCGCAGAGGCCAGAAACACTGCCAGAACTTAACGTCGAACTGCCCATTGACCTCAAGTGGACGTTATGTTCGTACTGATAAACACAACTTGTACAGCGGCAAAACTTCTTACTGTCAGTTGAAGTGCATATGTGAAGGCAGAAGACATACGCTGAAGTTGCGGAGAAAACCTCGACCAATCTTCCATCCGTCATGAACCATAGACACACGGAAAATATTGTGGTGAAGATTCCAACGAGTGCTAAACGTTTCACCATCGAAGCGACTAGATACAGTACTACGATTGTCATCACAGGAAGTATCGATGCCATAATGACACCAAAGAATGACACAATACGAAAGATTACAGTATCGGAGTAGTCAACTATATTCGACGCATAGTCTGTCGTCTCGATATCTGGTTTCTGCAAACTGAGTTTCAGAAAAGCCAATGGTTCATATTTGGGGAGTGGAAATCACCCTGTAAAATCTTCCTACAGAGTCATGGTATATGGGTGTGATTGTGTTGGCCCATACTTCGAAGAATATGTTCTCGGGTACTTTTTCCTGAATGGCAATCAGATCCTTTCCATCAGCCCAAATATTCCGGTCTCTTTCAATCAGAAAAACACCACCCATGGAAGGACGTTTCATCCATTCCTGGAATTTAGCCAAATGCTTGGGATGCGGTGATGAACTCTTTGAGATCTGAGTCCAGAGGAATACGGTTTCATCTAGTATCAGGTTGTGGTCAGTTCGTGGGCTCAAACTCGTGCAGTTCACACATATACTGTATTCTCCCAATTTCTCCCGGATCTTCAATACTAATTTCCATTGCTCTTCCGACCCATCTACTTCATCGGCAGTACTTAATTCAAACCAGTCCCTAGAAAAATTTGCTCGGCCAGCATCTGGTGATCTATCATTGGCATTTTCTAACTCTTTTAGGTCTATTTGGAGCAGTGTTTGTACTAGTATTGCTCGTATTTCGTATACTGATCCGTATAGTAGTACATATTGATTTTCAATAATATATTTACATATATAATATCAATATACATATCACTAAAGATATTCAATATTATCCTAATATTGAATACCTATTACTAAAAATATATAGAAATACGGGAATTCGATCTAGAATACTTATTTTCAGCCTAAAATGAATTAGGAATGAATATTCATATTTATTTTTAATCCAAAATAGATTTGGAATTTATAAATACCTTCTGGAATATCTATTCCTAATCCATTTTGAACTGAAAATAAGCATTCCAGATCGAATTCTCATATTTCTATATACTTCCAATAATATTCAATATATTGAATATCTACTAAAGTGATATAATCTCTCTTTATATGTATAAGCTACCATATTAAAAGCTTAATACGCACCACTGTTATATTACCGTATACTAGTACAAACACTGATTTGGAGTCCAAAAATCTCGGCTTGGAGGTAAATGATGTTTTGAGTGTTCAATTCTGAGAATCGTGATACAATTGCAGATTCGGGATATCTGCTCATAAAACTTGCTATTTTATTATATCCTCTCATAATTGCTGGTCTATTGTAGTTGAAGCAGTTCGGGATGTCTACGTAGCACTGAGCCTGGTCAGCAGCTGACTACTCCAGCCACAATAAGAGTTGCAGCCGCACTATCGCATTTGTATCTCTGAAATTAACAACAACAGACCTAGATTCTCAACAACTCTCTGAAATCAAAAACAGACTTAGATCGCCAACAATTTTGAAAGTTTAACGGAGACGGTTTTGACCACCATCCATCCCAGGAGAAAGGACGTTTGAGGAGGTAAAGGTGCGTCTTTTCGAGAGAGCTAGCCCATCAGCGGCCCTTGAAGTTGACGACACCAGACTTGGGTCGTCAATAATGGTTGGAAGTTCAATGGAGACGGTTTCGACCATTATCCCGGGAAGATCGCCGACTGTGGATCACATCAAGTTGTTTCACTGCAATGTTCTTAAACAAAAGCTTCTTCATAATGATGATGCTTGGCAAACACACTCAATTCCGTTTTATCGGGGTGTAAAGATATTATGGGAAGAAAACTGCACTTCAATTTGCGATGTAAAGTCTCGCAAACATCGTCGCTATCGAAAGAGTAAGGACGCATATGGCAGTAAGGATGGCAAATTTGAAGGAGAGGTATGAGAACTGTCCTCTCGAATTCTGTCTAGTCCTTATTTGGTGTTAACCTTCTTCAGAAGCCCTTTGAACGCGAATTCTCCTTTCGAACTTCCAAAGGTCAGGCCATAATGCCAGGTTTATGCCGCCTCGATTCGGGGTCCGACATACCACTTGTAGTTTCGAGAAGATGGGTGAAAGAGTCTGGTATAGAAGCCGAGATATCAGAGGATTTTAAAAGTCCATCCTCATATAGTCTGAGCGGACATGCGATGGAATTCGACGGCATTCTTTGAAGCCTTGTGTTCAACCCTAAAGGCTCTTCAACAATATATCGCAGAGACTTCTTGGTGTGTAATAAACTGGATATTTTTGTGGATTTCATCATTGGTGCAAAGTTCATCATGGAGGAATGGCAGGTCTTGTTTGGGAACATGAAGAGACAGATTGCCGGGTGGTTTAGTCACAAGAAAGAAACGCCCTTAGAACAAGAGGAGGCTCAACTCCTGAAAGACAACCAGGAAAAAGAAGCACAAGAAGCTGAACTTCGTCGTCAGGACAAGAAAGATGCTCAGCGCAAGAAAGAGAAAGATGCCCGCCAGAAACAGCAAGAGGTTAATAAGTCTCCTGTTGGCGAATAAGACGATAATGAGAATGGATTGAACTGAGAAACTGAGTCGCAGTAGATCCTCGTTGCCATGACCTATCTCCCTGCTCTACAGCTGACAGCTTGTCCGTAGATCGGCGAAAGAAGGTGTTCCGCATCTCTCCATTCGCCTGGCAACGAGTGTTTAGTATCACCACCAGATTCTTGGGTCCATTCTATGCGTTTACATCCTTTATTTTTCTGTTTTGCTTTTGGGAAATCCTGTTGACGGGATGAGGAAGGCGGGAGGAGCTTGGATGGTATTCACAGACGACGCTTATAGACTACTATTATTCATACTACTTGACGAAAATATATCCATGAGGTGATCTTTTGAGGTACACTTGTAACTTTTTGGTCAAAATCTGTAATTTCTGTAAGTTGATGATGCACATGAAGATACATGCAATGAATTAAAACCGTCATGTTTCGTTTTCTTGTGCATCCTAGTGATCCAAGCTTTGTGTCACATGACCCTAAAATAAAGACGCGACATGCACGTTCAAACTACGCGTCTCACCAGCTTCTCTTTGAGTATAATTCAACAACCACAAATTCGAATATGGAGTCCAGCGACCCAACAATAATTGATCTTAAATCTTCATTCCTACGAGCACAAATCTTCGCACTCTCTCAACCTCTTCAACCATCTCAAGAATGGCAAGATTCGATATCGGAGGAAGAGAATACTTTACGACAACGCGCAATTGATGAAGCATTATTCAAGCTCAATACTATCCTGAAACAACATAACAAGATCAGCTACCCTCCGCAGGCACAGCGACATGTTGCTGAACAGATCGATCAATTATACTGGGCTGCAGGGGAGAGAGATGTTAATGTGAATGGAGAGGAGTGGAGCGAAAAGGGCGCTGACTATCGTGAGTTCCATCAGTCATATCAATCAAGGCGTAGTAGACTTATGCTAATCAATATCTCAATCGACAGGCTTATCATCTAACATTGAAAGATTACCAGAGGAGTGGAGCGAAGAAGCAGAAACGAAAGCACCTAAGCAAGCTGCGAAATACAAAGAGCTTCAAAATAAACTGTTAGTACTAAATGAGAAGCGAAAAGCCGCAAAGGAGAAACTTGAACAATGCAAAGCTGCCAAGAAATTACTAGAACCTTTTGATCAAGCGGATAAGAATATACAAGAAAATATTGTTACCAAGAACGGGGAAATCGAGAAAGAATTAGAGAGAATGAGGATGTTGATGTTGAGAGTTGAAAGGGGTATCGTAGGGCTAGAGGGGAAAGATAGGGAGGATCATATGGATGTTGACTTGGAAGAGGATGATAGGGAGAAGCTTAGGTTCTTAGGAATTACATAACGCGATTGGCTTTATTCGATAGAGGACGAGGAATAGACAGTCTTTGTTGGGTGAGTTTCTTGTAAAGAATTCTTTATCTTCCTGTCACTTATTAGCAATCCAGACAACAAAGCCGTCAAACATGATCGATCCGGCACTTCGCTTTAATAAGCTTCGAGTGTATATTAAACACATTTCAACTTCGCCCAGTCACTTTATCTTGTTTCATCATACCAAAATTTACACAAAATGAGTCTGTATCATATCAGCCTTCCATGTACCGACTTGAAAGCATCAGAAGAATTCTACGCAACCGTATTAGAGCCTTTAGGCTACAAAACGTACCTTCAAACTCGTAATAAGACTTTCTTTAGACCAAGATGGTCGTTTCACCCTGAAATTTCCTTGAGATGTGATAGATCCTATGGGCCAATTGGAGGTACACGTATCACCATTCATGCATCATCCAGATTACAAGTCGATAGATTTTATGTTCTCGGACTGTACGTGTTTCCATCATTTTTCAACAATCACTAATAAGACACTAACTCCATCTGCAGAGCCAAATCTAACAACATCCAAAGCGGAGAGGTTAACGATTATCGACATGCCTATACAGCTTCTATCGTCGACTTTGACGGCAATGTCATTGAAGCAATTCACCTAAAATCACGGGTGCCCAAGGTCATCACCCCATCTCCAATGACCCCGGCAGCGATTTTTGGCGCGCTTTATCTGACAGTTGTTTCTTCTATCTTCAGCGCACTTGGAGGGTGGTACTATTTTATCTTCAACACAATAGGTATATTGATGATTGCAGATCTTGTTTATGTCGAGCTTGATCCGGAGAGGTCAACACAGAGATTAGAAGATTCTGGACTGTTGAGCCTTGAGAAACGAGACAAAAGGTCGAGGGCCAGGCTAGCATATAAAGATATGGATCAAACTTTAGGATAGTTGTACAGAGATTCGGAGATTTTCGCTCGTTAAACATCGACTAATATCAAGTGGTTCAACTCACTTCCATGTCTAATTGTGCGTGGTTGATAGAGTGTATGATTTTCTTACAGTCATAATGTCCTTCAATCATCTAGTGAAGCTTCAGTTCAAGTACCAAATCTACGTTGGCGTCTACATTTTCCATTGAAGTCTGAATATAGAAATGTTATGTTAGCTAAATCTTTGCACTCACATATCACGGCATCCAAGATTTGATTTGCGCGCGCTAGAAACGCCATCGACGGGTAATACCCGTCTGGTATCACACTACTACTAGTTTCCCCAGTGGATCCCATGATGTGTGATATTGACATAAGCAATCCATGATGTCATGCATTTCTATTTAACCAGCTTGTCAACGATATAGCTCATTCATGGAAGCTTTTGGGGGAGGGGAAAGTTTGCATCGTACTCTAATAAAGTTCCATCAGAATTAATTCATCAAACTCAATTACAAAAAGTAAAATGCCATTTCCCTACAAAACTGTAAGCCTACTCAATCATCCATCGTTAATTTCGTCTTTGCTGAGATAACAAACCAGATACTGGTGGTTGGCGCCACCTCAGGCATTGGGCTTGCCCTCACTGAGAAAATGCTTTCCGAAGGAGTTACCAAAATTATAGCTTTGGGCCGTCGTCAAGATAAACTGGATGACTTACAGAAAAAACATGGAGATTCGAAAGTTTCAACCGTGAAATTTGATATTACGAATCTTGAGGGCATTCCCAAGATGGTTGAGGGGTATGTTGACAATCTATTTTGATTAATTGCTAGTGTAACCGAGTACTGATGGATCAAACTTCACAGAGTCCTCAAATCCCACCCCTCCCTCGACTGCGCATTCCTCAATAGTGGAATACAACGATCTCTCGATTTCACCCAACCCTCATCCATAGATCTCGATCTAATTTCTACAGAATTCACGACCAATTATCTCTCCTACGTTCATCTTACTAAAGCACTTCTTCCACATCTACAGAATAGAGTCAAGGGTGGCGAAAATGCCGGATTGATATTCACGACTAGTGGATTGGCTTTGGTACCCATTGTGCGATGTGGAAATTATTGTGCAAGTAAAGCTGCTATGCATCAATTAATTCTCGTTATGCGGGAACAGTTGAGAGATGTGGGTCAGAGCGAAGGTGGAAATACTGCGGAGGAACAGACTTCGGGGGAGAATAGAAAGAGTAAGGGTGTACAGGTTATTGAAATCTATCCGCCGGCTGTTCAGACGGAGCTACATGATGAGAAACATCAACCGGATATCAAAGATGGCAGGAATATGGGAATGCCGTTGGATGAGTTTACGGAAGAAGCGTGGAGAGGATTGGAGAGGGGCGATGAAGATGTTCCTGTAGGGACGACGTGGAAGGGATTTGGGTATGAGGAGGTGGAGATGAGGAGGAAGAAATTGTTCGGCGAAATGATGGAAAAGATGAAGGGGAACTAAGGTTGTGTCAAAGATGGGAGGGAAGCTAAAGATACGTTTTCGGGACAGGCATGGGTGAAATGTATATTGAATATTGCGAATGATTCAAGTTCGAAAAGCAATGTGCTTAGACTATATAAAGCTGTAGTCGCCTCCGAAAAGTAGCTATACTCAAGCTCGACATGATAGATGTATCATGCAACTGGGAATCAAGTCGTCCGTCGAATTATTTACAGTCCTTCGCGTCCATATGCCTCGTCTCTTAGTACTCAAGATAATACAAATATCCGACATTTCTCTCAAGCGAGACGCCCTCTCATCCATGTGCTTTGATAGGTATACAATCGATATTCACTTGCACAAATACTGTTGGATGTCTGACTAGGTATATAAACACCATGATTTCTTCAATTCATCACCTCTCCATTACCAAAACAAACGGCAGATCATTATTTTGAAGGTTGGTAATTCCATTGGTATGTCATACAAACTGTAGCATCAACTCTTGACACCGCAATACAAGCCCATCACTCTGTGAAATTGTCGTGGGCCAAATATCCTATTCTTTTAAATGACAATTGAAGTTTTCGACAGTGATAACGATCAGATATTTCGAGTGCATTTAGATGACAATCTTCAATGACAGTGTCTAGATTGCTACAATGCAAAGAAATGGGATATACACGCCAGCCTCAGTCTTCGTGATCTACTGAACGAATCTTGTGTTATTGGCCTTACTCTTCTGGATCTTTGATCGGGGCTTTGCACTCCTGATATGCCTTCACGGCAGGTCAAACCGAGTCAGTATGGATAAAAGTCACAGTAGAACGGCACCTTTTTATTTATCTACAAAATGGCCGAATGGAATGCGACCATCATTCATCATACCAACATCAAACTCAAATTCTAGACCTATTTCGGAGCCTGATTAGTGAATCCTAATCTAGCCATCCTCGGAATATTCAGTCGTCCTGTATTTAAACACATCAAATGGATTCGTACAAGTCAAAATTTATGTGGCACTCAAGATATTCTCCAGCAATCTTAGAAACTATTGCTCGGAGCTAGTTCCTAACTGGATGGTATGGTCCAATTTCTTGCCATATAATTACACGACAAAGATACGGGTTGATCCGTGTGCCCTGCATGTTTCGAGGGATTCGCTGTCGTTATCATTGAGATCTATCCAATGGATACTCTTCTGACAGCAGGGGCGTGTGAGAGTGAAAGTGACAGTGAATGCTGTCAATGCACTGATCATTCCACGATATGTTCGCGGAGTTGAATATGACTCCCGTTACGTTTGAACTATACACGTCTCCCGAAGCTTCAGCTTGAGGGTTCTTTAGGAATGAGCTGCTTTCTGGTGAATGCGGATGTTGGCCTCCGCAGCTTATTTGGTTCCTGGAAATTAGCTTTGTCACTACCGGGTACCAATCTATACCTCTGAAATGGGCACACAAATCAAAAATTACCAGAATTCGCTCATCGCCTTTACTTTTGAGAGACACAACTATTTCCGATATGGAAGATTGATTGCTTCATCACTCGAATAAACAGCGGACGAAGTATAAAATGGGATTGAAATCCCATCCGCATACATCCATGGCTTCGTTGAGTGAAGACATCGGTAGCATGATAACATTTTACCCCATACAAACTCTCGGTCTGCGTAAACAAGATGTTTTGCAAGTCTTGCAAGTCTTGCGAAACTTGCGAAACTTGTATTGAGTGTTTGAGACACATGATAATCCTCTAGATTATTATGAAGCGACGAAACGTTAGTGATTTTGTGCAGTCGAACAGGCTACAATCCATCGTAAGGTCATTGCATCAATGTCAAAAGTGTACGAAAGTGCGCCCCACGCAAAATTCACCCACTATCCACCCACTATCCACCCACTCCTCACTTCCCAACCTCATCGTCGCCTAAGACTCGCCCCACAAAAACTTAATTCAAACCTCTCACAACCAACTATTTCAAAAATGATATCTTCAAAATAGAAAGTAAGCAACAAAGACAAAAAGAGCAAAATTTCAACACGTCTTGCGACGCTGTAAATCCCAATCAACTTCGTACTATAGAATGACTGTACCAAACTGTCCCCTATTTGGCCCGATTGAGAGGGCCCCGATTACTATGGCATGGGTGGAGGCGTTACGTAGACCACTGTACCACGGGGATATGTTTGGTGAGGTATGTGAAGACTTTGGGGGATATATAGGAGAGGCCGTCCGATGAGTTTGGGAATGGGAAACTGGTTATGGGAATTGGGATAATGGATATGTGATGCGATTTGGGAACTCCGGGATAGAATAAGTAATTTCATGTCTTTATTCCTGTTTCTTGATGATAACTTCAACATGCGCGATTGAAGCTCTTATTGAATTCTTCTGAATTGGTGTTGTATCATGTATGTCGCGAACTATCTGGCGGTCATGGGCAGCAGAATTCTTTCGACAATGTTTACAGGATGCGACAACCCTTCAATCAATGTCTTTTTAAGTATTGATACTACCATTTCTATGGTAAGATCGTCGTAAGTATTAACTGCGGTAAAGTGAGGAGGAAAAAACTACACTTGAAGATATCTTTCTAATCGCAATAAAAACAAACTTGCTTTCCACAATCTCCTTTGCGCCATGCCGGCTTGAGTGTTCATTGAATCGCCAAACATACATATGTGTGATTGGACAGTCTAATCAATTTGCGCTTTAAATTTAGGTGTGGATTGTTCATGGAGTAATTGAGTTTTACCTTTGGTCTAAGTCAGAGTTAAATACAGAGTCCACTGCCGCCTTTGTAAGAGAGATGGAAATTCATATTCAACTGACCACATGAGATACCAAAGAAATTACTTTGATGGATCGGAATCTTTGCAACTTGCTGCCACAAGGCCATTTAATGTGCTATATGCTAATGTCAAAATCGTGCCGATTAGGTCCTCCTGGTTCAATGATTTCGGTAACGGGAGATGCCTACTCTCGAGGTATGGGATCGCTGCCGAATGATATCAAGCCCCGCTTGGGGAGTAAATACAGACACTCAGAAGCCTCTGGTCAACGGGCTATGAAGAAATTAATATTGATTTGAGGATCAATGCTAAAGTATAGCAGAACCATAGGATCACTTGACTAAACTCTTTTCGCGAACAGCTTTTTGGATCTTGGATAGACTTTATGCTCGCTCCACGCAAGGTAAGAAGAGCCTTAGAACTCACACTTTTAGTATTATTGCGTCGAGTGGATACAAAAGTACTCATACTATAGATCGACTGGATCCCGAACGTGGAAGTGTCTATTTTCTCGTGGTCCACGCTCCTGTAGCATAAGATGAGGAAGTAGCATGTGGAAAGACGTGATTTTATGATATTAAAACCATTGCGAATCTGGAAACAAATGCTTAGTCAATCACTTATCAATTAGTGTAACTCGCGTCATCATATTATAGAATTGACGTTATTGAATCACAAATTACTCAATTACGCAGACTCATCCTCATACGTTGGGAAGCTTGGCCTTGGGACTTAGGTGTCGGGTTGAGCTGCTGTAATCTAGAAAGCCACATTGTATAGGTACTCCATCATTTCGAATGGCAAGATATTACTATCCTTCGATCGCTGGATCATGGATCAAGAAATATGAAAGTAGATTACAGTAGGTAGCAAGAGACATCTAAAGTAAAAACCAGGAGATATATTCTCGAGATTTCGAACATTAGCGTCCACAGAAGGTAATGTGCACGGCTAGGACAAGAAATAGACCGCGAGGATAACACTGCATTATTGAACTTCATATGGATGTTCATCCTGGTGCCATATCATTTGAGCTTAATGGCGATAAAATCTATCATATGGAAGACGAGGGGGTGGCAGGGAAGGCGAAAGCGTTAAGAAGGGGGTGTTTTCGAAGATAGGGGGTTCATATGACATCATTGTCGTCTAGGGAGGGGTAGTAGAAACCGAGAAGGGTTGATTGAAAGGTTTAAAGAAAATCATTATCATCTGAAGCCCTGGATCAAAGTTCAAACTTTTTGCTATATAATGTGAACATGTTGATACTTCATCTGAGAACCCCTTATTTCACCTGTCTAACTTTAGACAGAAGTTTATTCTGTATTAGACACTTGAGAACAACAGATGCATGCAGCCTTTCAATAAATCCAGAACAGAATCTGTATTCATGTATAAGACGTATTTGACATAGAGATTCGTGTTATTCAATCATCTTTGACAGAAACTACTCATTGTTCATTGATGTCTCACGCTTTCTAGCTCACTGAGCTGATATTTGGTAAGACTATTCTCACTTTGACAGTCTTCCCACCTGTAATATTGAAAGTACATTTCGAACATCAGATAAGAACATGTCCAGTGAATAACAATCCAAATTTAACTTATTAGTCATGCTTCCATCATATCTTCATTTTCCCCTCATCCCTTCTAACAAAGTTCTTCCATCTATTTTCTTCCCCATCAACTCCTGATCTGGAACAACATTTCCCCGACGCTCGGATCACCCAGATCAATAAACCATGTCTCCAACTCCATCAATCAAGAGCTTACAGCTTGCTCCCCAGCCCACCAAATACGATCCCATTGTATTACCCAATTCCGAGTTACTTACAGGCGCCGTCGAATATCCCACTCGAAAATCAAGCCTTGCCAATCTACCTCCTGATAAGAAACCTACCACCATGACTTCCAGACTCGTTCTCGTAATTGGCGATTTGCATATCCCAGATCGAGCTATTGATGTTCCTCAGAAGGTATGATTTCTTTTGCGCTTCCTGCACCTTTTATTCTAATTCTCTTGATTGCTGATCCATTACATTACAGTTCAAGAAGCTTCTCACCCCGGGAAAAATTGGCCAGACTCTCTGTCTCGGAAACCTCACCGATCGTCAAACCTACGACTATCTCCGCTCAATAACCCCCGATCTGAAGATCGTTCGCGGCCGCTACGATACCGACGCTACCTCTCTTCCACTCTCCCAAGTCGTTACACATGGCTCTCTTCGCATTGGCTTCGTTGAAGGCTTTACCATTGTTGCGCCCAACGAGGTTGATTTATTGACTGCCGAAGCCAATAAGTTGGACGTTGATGTATTGTGCTGGGGAGGAACTCACAAGTTTGATGCCTTTGAACTTGACAATAAGTTCTTTATCAATCCCGGAAGTGCGACTGGTGCGATGACTACGGGCTGGATGGAGCCGGGTGAGGAGATTGTTCCTAGTTTCTGTTTGATGGATGTAAGTTCTTCTCTATTCTTGCGCGCTTTACTTGAGCTACAATTTACTCACCCATTCCTCCTCCTCCCTCAAACACCCCAACTAACCTTTTCCCCCTCCTCTAGGTCCAAGGTCTCGGTCTCACCCTCTACGTCTACCAACTGCGCACCAGCGAAAAAGGCGAAGAATCCGTCTCCGTCGAGAAGATCTCTTACACCAAGGTTCTCCCTCCCACCACCGCCGCCTCCAGTTCCACATAATGATACCCCATTTCTCCACCACATTTCCATTTAAAGAAGTGCTTTTCCTTCTGCTTTCCCCTGCGGTCGCCAGTTACAAAAAAGTCCTTTGGCATTTACGGTGTTTGGGGATCTTGATCTTTTGCGGGATGGGGGTACAATTGATATGATATGACATGATATGATGGCATAACGATAGACTATGACTGCTGGAGAGAGAAATACATGCACATAATACCAGAGAGCTAGACTCTTTTTCCTCCTATTTCAAGAGAAGTCTTGCCATATTCATCCACGGAGGTGAACGAATGGACGCCTACTGGATACCAGATAAATAGGATTGCGTACGATACCACCTAATGATACATAACATACAATAAAAATCACATTTGTAGCGCAAGCTACTCATTTGCGAATCATTGCAATGCAGAAATTGAGAATTGAAGAACAATGTTCGTGATTCGACGATAAAAGAGAGATTTCATTGATATCATATTCCGCTTCATAAAACTGAGAGAATCGAAAAAAACTAGAAAACTGAAACTACTTTTGCGCCATTCATCAAGACCAAAGAAGATATGCGCATAGCATATTAGAACCGCTGTAAGCTCATTAATCATCCAATCCAATCCAATCCCATTACTCCCGATTTTAATCCAATCTAGCATAATCGATTTGATCCAATTCAATTGAACTCAACGCAGAAGAAATTAAGAATATTTTATAGCCCAAACTTGACTTGTAAGACACCACTCATCATAACATCATACTCCTCCTTCTCGAACTCATCCTATCACTCCTATTCGCATTCGCTGCAGCAGCTCCCGCCATACTCGTGCTACTGACACTTTTCCTCAAGGATTTATCCGAGGAATCCGTGGTATCTCTCTCCGATTCGTGACCTTGAGCTGACGCGCTTCTAGCTATGGTTGAAGAGGGTAATGCCGATTGTCTTCTTCTTGAACCTGATTGTGATGATCCTGTTGATGCCGAAAATTTTCTCGCTGGTTCGAAGTCCTGATCCCCTACCGGAATAGCGGAAGCTCTTCTAGAAAAACGTGATGATGCTCTATCACTTTTCTCTTCTTTTATGACTTTGGGTTCTTCCGAATCGCGTTTGGGGGAACCTTGAAATTCATATATATCCATATCTTCAAGGGCTGCTTTTATATCGTCGCCTTTAGCCGATTGTTCCTTTGATTTCGCTTTTATTTTCCTCGACTCTGCTAACAGCTCCGCGACTGATTTTGATCCTGATGCTGAAGATCCCGACTCTGTGAGATATAAAATTGACTCGCGACGTCTTCGGTGATCTGTGATGCTGCTTGGTAACATATCAGGAAGTGGTGCAGAAGCTTTGCTAGTCAATGGACTGTGATCTGCGTTTGATGCGGTTGATAGTTGTTTCCAGGAATCTTCCGATTCGGGTTCTGCTTTGATTTTGCTTATTGTCGTCGGACCAGCTTCCTCATCTACTCTAATGGCACGAACTTTTCCATCAGCTGTGACGGCGTTCACAAATTCCTTGCCGGGTCGGCGCATTTTGTCCCGAAGATTGGGTTCTGCATAACTTATCGAGCTTCGAGCTCGTCGACTTGGTCGTTGACCTTCAGCAGATTCCCTCATCTCTGAAGGCGGTGGAGTATCCCGAGATTCCACTCGAACGTTGGTTGACGGATGCGATGAAAGAGGCGAAAAAATATCGACAGGTGCAGGCGTCTCTGGTTCCACCTGCATATTGAAGACCTGCAGTGGAGCTTGCATGGTTTGTTGAATAGGTTCGATATTTTCCATCTTCTTCTCCTCGCTCGACATCTCCTTCGACAGGCTTTCCTTGAACAAATTCAATTTGCCTGGCTTGATCCCATCGTGATTGGAATTCCTGCTGCTGGCTCCTTTCTTAGGGGAATTATTAACACTTTTGGCTGCCAGAACCTTTCTGGTGCTAGGAGCTAAAGCCGGCTTGTCTTTCGACAATCCTTTAGAGCTCATAACATCCTTCAATGGCTTTGTATTCTCTTTGGCTGATGAGACTGCCGATTTTGTCTTCGCTCGTTCCTCGGTAGATACACGTGTAAATTGGAAATCGTCGATATCATTAGCGCTTGTCGACTCCAGTTCCTCGTCTTCTCTCGCACTAAGCTTCCTCTTTGCACCTGATTTGAGCGTTCCCGTATTCTCTCGTTTTGCCGGAAGTTCCAATCGGCTGTTCCTCCTAATATCAGAAGCCACCATACTATCCTTGCGCTTCTTCCTCTGCTCGAGATTCGTTGATATTATCGAATCCAGACAAGGTTCATCTTCCCTCTCATAGGCTAATTTTCCTGCCAAATCGATCTTTACCGGATCTTCGTCGACAAATTGTGATACTGGTGGCGGCCCGATGTCAGGTGAATCTTCGTTTTCTGCTACCACTTCAGCTAACATATTTTCGATTTCCTGATGTCTATGAATTGTTAGCGTGCAAACTTCAATATATCCAATATTGCGCAACATACTCCAAAGTTTTCCTAGGATAATATTTGTTTTCCAAAATGGGGGGTAATTTGCCATCCGGGCTACCGATGTCTTCACTTGATGAAGCCATCTTTTTCCTTGGTGGCATTTTGCGCTCCGGGCTTGTACCATCCTCGTTCAATGGATCCAGATTATCCCACTTGTTTTCCTTGGGGCTACGAGGAGGATTCGAACCCGCTCTCAACCCTCCAAATTGCCTTGGAACATGTGGTGATCTCTTTCTTTCTGGAGATTCTTCTCCCAAACCACTTATCAGAGCTCCAATCTCCAGCAATCTCTCTTCGAGTTGTGATTTGACTACACTGACTCTATCTGCAGCCCTTCGAGCCTTTCCATTATCGATCTCACTTCGAAGGCGTAAATTCTCCTCCCGGAGTTCTAGATTTTCGGCAAGAAGTTTCGATGTTTCATTTTCAAGGGTTCGGATTCGAACAGCTTGGGAGGAATTGACGGATGCAATATCGCGATTCTGACGTTTGTACTTGCGCTTGACTATGATTGCATCAGAAAGGCGCCTCTCCATTTTTTGCCAATTGTCAGGAAATCATTGTTTGGGAACTCACGAGATTCAATACTCTCCAACGAAGCTGCAGGCTCATTTAAGCGGGCCATGTGAGCTGGCAATGCATGCGGAATGAAATATGATTAGTAGTACAGTATGAGAAAAAGATGTGAAAAGTTTGAGGATTATTTTGATAATTCTTGGAAGCTACGACGAAGGATTTGTCGAAATAACGGTGATTTCTCGTGATTTCTGGTGATTCTTAGAGTGTTTGTGTACAGTGAAAAATTAGGGTGAATTGATTTGTTTACATCGAACTTGAATTGGTTAGATTGGGAGCATTGACTCTGCTATCATAAAAGTGGGTCTATTTATCAGATTTGATTGGTTGTAAAAAGATCGCTATCAGTCCCGCCTTGAGTTGTCCACGGATGGAGAATTAATTCATATCAAATTCAATTATCAAGCGTTCTATAATATAATAAGTCTCCATCTCTTTGCATTGGAGATCCCATATTACTACACTCGGTCTGTAAAGCAAAGATCACAATAATGTCATACTCATCTCGACCCCTCGGTTCGCATCTGCGACAGCAGTCCATGGGTGGTAGTCTGGGTTCATCTTCTGGTCAATCCCCCGTCCTACAGGCGCGCATCAATGAGAAAAGGGCAGAGTTAGAAAATCTAAAGCAACTGCGAGATTTGAGCGCAGGATTGGCTGGACAGATGCAAATGTTGGAAGAGAAACTCTCGACTCTTTCAGATGGAACAGAAGCCGTCGCAACAGTGTTGGGCAACTGGCACAACGTTCTGCAAGCTATTAGCATGGCATCCAGTAAGATATGATGTACTCCTCTGTTTGTCGCGATTTTCTAACAATTACCAGTGAAAATACCAAAACCCAAAGAATCAAACGATGGAGAAGAGGAATTGGAAAAGAGAACGGGACCTGAAATACCATTACCTCAAACTCTAGTCCGAATACCCACAGAGCACGCGCCAATGCTACAACCATCCAAAAATGAAGAATCGAATGAATGAAAAGTACACGCTAAGTCGCTGGGAGACTAGAAGAGAATATACATGCATTCATGACGAGTTTGGTGCATTAAACGGCGCAACAGGCAGATATGGGGTTGTGAGTTTTGATACCAAAATCGGTCTGGTGATGGATCGTGTCCATGTAGGAATGGCTGGTAAAAAGCAGCTGGACTTTTGATGATGACATGATTGACGACATATTAGCAGAGATTGATCGAATAAGAAAAATGTCGGAAAAGTCATGCAATCTAAACAAATACATGGTGTTGTGGCCTGCATAAGTAGGTAAGATGTGAAACCCAATGACGGAAAGGTCGATGGAAAAGAAGGTTACATTACATCACAGTGAGCAGGAGTTGAATACTTCATCGCAGGAAACAAACTCATCGCCGAAAGTCTTTTGCGTACCTACCAAGGTATTGACGGACAATGAATGAATTTGTCAAGAGCTATTCACCATTTTCATCCTCAAAATAGCTTTAATCAATCATCGCTCACGATTTCACAGTCGCGCCTTTCTTTTTCAGCTGCCGGTTGCTATAGTGATGATGTAAGCTCAAACAATTGAGGGGAAAGGAAGGAAGCTACACTTTCGTAGCGAGCTACTCAAACGAATATTCTCATGGTCGATTGAATTTCATTGACTTCACAATTCACATAATTGATAAGAAGAAAGCTCTGATTTTTGGAAAAGAAGATTCATCAAACTTGGTACTACATTTCTATTGACTTTACGAATACGGAATACGATTGTCACTCAAAAATAGAACGCAATTTCCACCCATCCTTGCAAAATCGATTGCTTCTCAATACTCAAATCACATCTAATTTCCGAAACACTATTCGACAAAAGATCGACTGTTTCTAGACCATTTATGACTTTTGACAGTCAAGATGTCTCGAGTAACACGATCAACCACGATCAATATTGTGGAAGATAATACAGCATCCATTGCTGCCCAAATTCCTCTTCCATTGACACCTGCTTCAAAAGTATTGGCTACTCCAACTGTACACGAACTGAATAGCATGGCAGCTCATGATAGCTCAGAAACGGATCTCGCACAACATATGAAAAATCTCAAAGCTGCATATCGAAGTGCTCTCGGTATCACAAAAAAAGGCAAAAAGTTCAACAAGAATAAGAACAAGGGAAAGCAAGACTTTTTGACAGAGCTAGAGCATACCAAGATTACTGTCCCTGAGGTCGAGCACATCGAGGGTATTACTGTTAATCCAACGTCTGTTCAAGCTACTCTAAACACAGAAACTGTCCCAAGAATTGCTGCAGGCCCACCTGGTGCTCGCTCTACAAATCTTGTCTCTAATTTCGAGCTTCCAAGGACTCAAACTGGTCGGCCAAAATCCGTTCAACCACCTTACATCATGGGACAGCCTATCTTACCTCACCTTCCACAATTGGGACGAACCACTCGAGGTCAAATTGCAAGACAACAAGCAGGTCAGTATGATAAAGGTGTTTCATTCATTAGAGCGGCCGATACTGGAGATGTTTTCTGGAAACCACCTCAAACCTCTAGTTGTGGTTCATCTCTTTTCGCTGGTTCCCACTTTCCTATGCAAACCGGACCTTTCATTCCATTGAGACTTGAGCATAACACTAATCCCCCGGACTATTTAGCAAGGAAGAATAATGACAACATAGAAACAAAGGATGTCGAGTCTTTAACATCAGAAAAACTTCGATACACCCCAAAAAAGAATGATCCTCCAGCTGCTTCTGGCACCTTGCCCTTCACAAAGCAAATCACAACACTCGAGGAGATTGAAAGAGCTTACAAGGCTTCGGAGGTAACATCTTCTGTTCGCCAACGCTCATCTTCCGCCGAAATTGAAGAGGATTCATTCATCGATATAATCATAAATCGATCGCCAGCAAAGCCTGTGTCTCGCATAGAAGACTCTTTGGAAGAGCTCGACAATCTGGAAGATGCCATAGATGCGCTCGACGAAGCTACCACCGTTGAACAATTTGTTGCTGCCTCACCCAAGACGGCCAATATCTCAACTGAAGCTTCCTCTGACAGCAATTCGAGAAGATCACCCCAACGAGGACTTGTTGAGGAGCTCCCCGCTGCTGGACTACGTGTTCGCGTACATGATAGTCTAGCTCAAGTAGCTTCACAAAGACCCAAATCTACCTACGCAACAATGCGTGTCAAACGTACCACAGCCACCGAACCAACCCTCAAGAAGGCTAAATCTATGTCTTTCGAAAATGTAAGACCTGTTGTCAGTCCGGAAAAGCCAACAATGACATCTCCAAGTAAAGTTCCACGTCCAACTAGTCTCCTTCCTCCAAAATCACCAACCAAATCTACAAAGCCATCCACTAAGCCAGTGTTCGAGCTTCCTGGTGACGCTGTCGCTAAGCGATTAAAGGAACAGAGAGAAGCTCGTATTGCGCAACGAGAATCATCCGAAATGACAGTCGTTAGAACTACAACTACACCAGGAAGAATCAAATCCACGAAGCCCCCCACCAAATCTTCTCAATTCGAACTCCCTGGCGAAGCATACTCAAGACGTAAGCGAGAAGCGCTTGAGGCAAAACTCAAAGCCCAAGAAGAAGAAGATCGCAAAAGACGTGAATTCAAAGCCAGACCCATAGGTAAAACCGTTGCTTCCCGTACACTTCCCCGCGATACAGCTGCTAGTCGCGCACGCCAAAGTAAAACGGGAACAACTGGTGACAGTACTGATAGTGGTGGTCTCACAATCGGCAAACGTGGGAGCTTAGTTGGAGGTCATCGTCCTTCAATTCTTGACATGCAAAAAGTAAATGTTATTGGCTCATCACCCCGTACTAAGGCTCCTCCTGCTCCTTTGAATCGCAAAGCGTCGCAACGTCCACAACATCCGAGAATGGCAATGCAGAGAACGGTGTCAGATTCGGATCATGAATTGCAGAGACAGAGAGCCAAGGAACTTTATAATAAAGATGCAATGTATACAGCAGATATTGAAAGAGAGAAAAGGGAACGGGAGATGGCAGCTATCAGGGCAAGGGAAGAGGCGGCAGAGAAGGGAAGGGCGGCTAGTAGGGAGTGGGCGGAAAGACAGAAGGCCAAAGCAATGGGTGAGGCGCTTACTAGTCCAAAGTCTTCTACTTTCTTTTGAGTGAAGGTTGATCAAATTGTTTGTGGTGTTTTCGACGTTTTAATTGGGCTTTAAACTGTCTGGAATTAGTATGCTCGGCTTAGGGTGCTTACATGGATATATGAGCCTACGCGTTAGGCAACCGTATACGTTGTTGTCAATTTCTTCGTGTCGGACTTGGCTTTTGAAGTCTGATATTATACGTTCTTTTCAGCTTAATATCTTAGGGGGGTTGTATTGTTCGGAGCGGGTGGACAGCACGCTTATGGATCTTGTTTTAAGTCAAGGAGTTTAAAAATGTATTGTTATGCTCACGGTATGGTGTACAGCACATACATTTATTCCCGGGGAGTAGGGGGTGTCCTAATATATGAATTTACAAGGAAGGAGGAGGGTCGGGGGGATTGATTTAGCGGATGGGTGGGAATGTGGTGGACTTGGTTGAGTATTATACCTTGGGAGAGAATGAATCGGGAGTTTGTATAGGTTATTGGAATGGATTGGTCTGTACAGGAGTATCTCGAGACTGTACTTTTCAGCTCGGAAAGTAAGGATGGAGATGTATGCGAGATGAATTGATTGCTCGTCTTTGTTGGGATGGGGCTGGGGACTACATGATTATGGGTGGGCGGTTCAGTGTATTTTGTGTTGATAAGTAGTTATATGAATTATTAAAATGAGGAATAGTTGCTATTCTCTAGTTTTCACATTTCATGTGGAAGTCAAGTTTGTGTGTGATTGTGTACAGGAGAGTGTAAGTCTTCAAGTTCACACTGGTAGTTCATACAGTATACCCCTTCACGGAGAGATTACGTTTCTCACCAGTAGTGAGTGAGTGGTTGCTTGCACTGTTCGAATGAATTGGTTCTACAAAATCAAAAAGATCATCAACATATATCTTGATTCTCCCCATCGTCATTCCTATTCTTGTTCTTGTTATCACTCTTCATATCCTTGGGTCTTACAACCGTCCGAAAGACTTCAGGAAAACTCAGTGAGGGTTATTATTGCATATTTTGTTGATGTCGGATATATATCCTCTCATTAAGCTTCTCACACATCGGATTCTAATCCCAATCTCGATCTTAAGCTTAGTAGACCATCAAATAATCAGCTAAATCTAATTTCTGCGACATTTAATCAGATCCGGCATCATTTGTTTGTGAATGAGCCATGGGTATTTGGTACATGGATGGATATATGAGAAATTAATATGGGTTTCAGGGAGGGGAATTTGTTTGATGGATAGGTTGTGAACTTTTTTTGGGGGGGGGGGGGGGGGGGGGGTACACTGTGAAGGGGATGTAGCTGTATTTATAGGGGATCTTGTGCGGGTTGGGAAGTTGGGAGGTATGGATGGCTGGTTGGATGAATGGACGATCTTGTAGTTTGTTAGGTGGATGTGAGTGAAATTGGGGGATAAAATGGGTTGTGTGCGTATGCATCTAAGCTTGACGGCAATTTGAACTTTGTGAGGGGTTTTGAGGATATTGTGGAAGGCGGAATTGAGGACATAGAACTTATTGATAGCAGGTAGAGGAAGAAAGGACGTCTGTGATTTTTTTGGTATTGTTGACGAAAGAGGTATATGATATGAAGAAGAGGATGAGGTTTGTGCATCTATCTTGAACCTTCGCGATACTCGAGACTAATTCTGGGATATAGATTGCTGCTTCAGGATTTCATGGTATAAAAAGATTTTTGAGGTCAGTGACAAAAAAACTTAGTTGGATAGTGCAAAACAGATTGAAAACGGAAGGGAAACTGATTCGTGGGGAAAAGTATTTGGGGCTTTCTGTCGATCATCTTGCATAGGGATTTCGTGGTGATTTGGAGTATTCGGGCAGTGGTGACGAGAATAACCTGTGATGAAAGACTAA